AATCTGTGTTTCTTCTTTTCACCATACTCCTTGGTCCCATAAAAATATGAGTCTTTCCTTGAATCCTTATAGTAAAACAGCACTCTGCTCCTCCTTATGGTATTTTAGATTACTGATGTACTTTATTAGCCCCCTGTATGCTTAAGCAGTCTCTTAAGACTACAAGATTACCAGCTAAGTACTCGTTTACTCCCTTTGGTTCCTAAAGGGTCTAGTTAACATAGTGGTTCTTTTCAAGTCTTTAGGTTTCCTTTATTCATGCTTTTCTGTAGGCATGCACGTGCAGTGAACAGTCAATATCTTCTGGCTTTAGAATTTCTCTTGTTAACTGCTCAGCTCGGGCCCCCCTGGAAGATTGGAGATTACCATACACTCATAGACAGACATTGGGGGTTTGCCAGGCTCCTTAGAAAAGAGAGGAACATAATTGCTGAAGAAACACACATCTTATATAGGTGGATTAAAATGCATTTTGAGGGGCCAACAGGTGGTGTGGTGGTTAAGATGCTGGACTCCCACATGACTGACCACAGTTCAAATCCTGGACTTACTGGCCTGCTTTTTCACTCTCCTTCCCCTCCCCCCCATCAAATTAAAACAAATAATAATATTAATAATTTAAATTAAATAATTCTTTAAAAATAAAGAAAAATAGATACGCATTTGAGAGTGACTCTGAAAAATGTGCCTTGACCATGTGTCTTAGTCTGTGTGCTATTACAACAATACCATGGACTGTGTGGCTTGAACAGAAACATTTATTTCTCACTGTTCCGAAGAGTGAGAGTCTGAGATCAGAGTGCCAGCATGGTTGGGTTTTTGGTGGAGGCCCTGTTCCTGGTTTACAGATAGCTACCTCCTTCCTCTATCCTCACATAGTAGAAGGCAGAGAAAGAAAGCAAGCTCTGTAGTATTTCTTTAAATGACTTGAATCTCATTCTTTAGGGCTCATTACGAATGACCTAATCACCTTGCAAAGGCCCTACCTCTTACTATCTTCTCCTTGTGGTTAGGATTTCAAGATAGGATTTTGAAGGATCACAAACATTGCATACATAATACCGCAAAAGTTTGCTAATCAGAGGTGACTTGGGCATACGGCAGATGCTTTGTAATGAGGCATAAAAAATTTACGGTGATGAGCAATAAAAATGAGTCAGTAGATAGAACATGCCTGCATGTGGATTGATTGTATTGTGGGATTTCTTCACTTCTTGGGCAGTTATTTTTTTAGAGACTCATTGTCTGATGAAGAGAATTTTAAGGATCATAGAAATACTGATATAGTACATTTTCTACCTTCATAATGGAAGAAAATGCTAAATTTTGGATAAAGACCAATGGAAAAGAAAAAGAAAATCAGGAACTTTATTTTCAGAACGTTATTTGCAAAATAATTTCCCTAGGAATTGTTGTGATGAAGCCTACAAGCTTCTTGAGGACCTAGAACTTGTGTTTGTTTATTTTTTGCCATGACTGTGACAAGGGACCACTCGCAGTATCTAGTACATAATAGTGAAAATATGCTTCCATCTCAGGATAACATTCAGAGCTCAAGATAAAATTCCGTAAAACTTCGGAAGACCTGCCTTTCCTGCTGCCTCTTGTGTGCTCCCCTCCTCACTTAATGGCATCCACACTGGGCTCTTTGCTGTTCCTGGAACATACCAGTCCCACTCCGTTTTATGGTTTTTGTTCTTCCAGCTAGACACCCTTCACCCTGGTAGTAGCATACTGGACTCTCTTGCTTTCAAGTCTTTATTCACATGACACCTTTTCAAAGAAGCTGATCTTGACCACTGTTTCAGTTCAGTTCTGGTCCCCTGCCTGGTCTGATTGTTGTTTATAACATTCTCCTTGATCTGATCCATTATGTAGATTTGTTTGTTTTTTATTTTATTTTTTATCTCTTTCTCTTCACTGAAATACAAGCTTTAGGAAAGGTGAGAATTTGGTTCTTTGGATCACTGCTGTGTTTCCAGGACCTAGAATAGTGCCTGCTACATAATAGGTGCTCAGTATCTATTTGTTGAAGGGACCAGTAGATGGTCTAATGGTTACATCGCTGGACTCCCATATAGTCCACTGTGGTTTGAGTCCCAGACCCAGTGGCTTAAAACTCATGCTGGCTAAAGAAAAATAGATACGCATTTGAGAGTGACTCTGAAAAATGTGCCTTGACCATGTGTCTTAGTCTGTGTGCTATTACAACAATACCATGGACTGTGTGGCTTGAACAGAAACATTTATTTCTCACTGTTCCGAAGAGTGAGAGTCTGAGATCAGAGTGCCAGCATGGTTGGGTTTTTGGTGGAGGCCCTGTTCCTGGTTTACAGATAGCTACCTCCTTCCTCTATCCTCACATAGTAGAAGGCAGAGAAAGAAAGCAAGCTCTGTAGTATTTCTTTAAATGACTTGAATCTCATTCTTTAGGGCTCATTACGAATGACCTAATCACCTTGCAAAGGCCCTACCTCTTACTATCTTCTCCTTGTGGTTAGGATTTCAAGATAGGATTTTGAAGGATCACAAACATTGCATACATAATACCGCAAAAGTTTGCTAATCAGAGGTGACTTGGGCATACGGCAGATGCTTTGTAATGAGGCATAAAAAATTTACGGTGATGAGCAATAAAAATGAGTCAGTAGATAGAACATGCCTGCATGTGGATTGATTGTATTGTGGGATTTCTTCACTTCTTGGGCAGTTATTTTTTTAGAGACTCATTGTCTGATGAAGAGAATTTTAAGGATCATAGAAATACTGATATAGTACATTTTCTACCTTCATAATGGAAGAAAATGCTAAATTTTGGATAAAGACCAATGGAAAAGAAAAAGAAAATCAGGAACTTTATTTTCAGAACGTTATTTGCAAAATAATTTCCCTAGGAATTGTTGTGATGAAGCCTACAAGCTTCTTGAGGACCTAGAACTTGTGTTTGTTTATTTTTTGCCATGACTGTGACAAGGGACCACTCGCAGTATCTAGTACATAATAGTGAAAATATGCTTCCATCTCAGGATAACATTCAGAGCTCAAGATAAAATTCCGTAAAACTTCGGAAGACCTGCCTTTCCTGCTGCCTCTTGTGTGCTCCCCTCCTCACTTAATGGCATCCACACTGGGCTCTTTGCTGTTCCTGGAACATACCAGTCCCACTCCGTTTTATGGTTTTTGTTCTTCCAGCTAGACACCCTTCACCCTGGTAGTAGCATACTGGACTCTCTTGCTTTCAAGTCTTTATTCACATGACACCTTTTCAAAGAAGCTGATCTTGACCACTGTTTCAGTTCAGTTCTGGTCCCCTGCCTGGTCTGATTGTTGTTTATAACATTCTCCTTGATCTGATCCATTATGTAGATTTGTTTGTTTTTTATTTTATTTTTTATCTCTTTCTCTTCACTGAAATACAAGCTTTAGGAAAGGTGAGAATTTGGTTCTTTGGATCACTGCTGTGTTTCCAGGACCTAGAATAGTGCCTGCTACATAATAGGTGCTCAGTATCTATTTGTTGAAGGGACCAGTAGATGGTCTAATGGTTACATCGCTGGACTCCCATATAGTCCACTGTGGTTTGAGTCCCAGACCCAGTGGCTTAAAACTCATGCTGGCCATGTGTGTGTGCGTGCCCCAAATCCCAAGAACCAAATGGAGGAGAAGGGATTGGGATGTGACCATCCCCTGTGGGAGGTAATTTCTTGCTTTCTGTCTTTGTCTCTCTTTGTCTGGTGAGCGCAGGTACCCTATAGCAAAAATGAGTGAATGTGTATTTGAGTTAATGAATGAATGAATATATACGTAGGTATGGTCCAGTGGTCTGGTTCCATACTAGAATCTGAGCTAAAGAAACACGACTCAGAAGAAAGTTTGATATTCACCTTCTTCTCTATGTAACTTTCTTCTCTCTCAGATATGTAGGCCTGCCTACAGTCTTAGCCTACAACATTTTCATGTCAAAATCTTTTATCCTCTTCTGTTTCTAGTACCCCAAACTCCTGGATGTCATTAATTCCTCTGATCCGAATGGAGCAGTTTTCTTTTGTGCCATCCCATCTCGGTGCCTATATTGCTCCATGAACTATTTGGCTCTAATCTGCTGTTCTTCGCATAGCTCAGGACCTGGGGACGGTAGTAATTGTCCTGTGAACCGTCAGGGCTCTCATCCTTTCCTTGGTGGGAGCAGGCAAAGAAAACGTGGCACCAAATAGTTGTCAGTCTTGGTCAAGAAGTCAAGGCCAAAGACGAGGAATAAGCCTGCAAACCCCACTTTGATGCCCACATTAAGTGGATGTCTTTGGTTCATCAGGTACAAGATTAGTTTTTTTCCTCGGTACGTTAATTATGCCCTTTGCTGTTTTCATCCTGTGTACTCGTTGATATATGCCTCTCTAAGCCTCAGAACATTGGCATTTTTTCCATGTACTAACTCCATAATGATCATCCATGATATTAGCACAGGCTGTTTAGCTCTGTTCATCATGGCAGGTGCAGCACATTAAGCACCAAAAAATTAGACCATAATGCAACAATAGCTTAGTGAAAACATCCATAAATACCTCATAAAAGCTTAGAATTTCCTTAAGACAGTAACATCACTTCTAAAGAGCTTTCATCTGTTACTCTAAAAAGAATGATAAAATATTTAAGACATAACACGATTCTGTATATTATAAACTGCAGTTCTTTATGCTAGGTGGCTTTAAATTTATTTAGGTAGGTACCTTTTTTTGTATTCATACCTCACAAATGGAGCCTTTTATCATTTATAATGTCATCGTTGCCATTTTAGTAAATGAGATGGTTTATGAGCACTGTTCATCAGTAAAACAAATGGCTTTCTTATTATTTGGCACCTGGTTAAACAATGTGAATTTTAAATTAACTTTTTATACATGATCTTTTCTCCCATTATCTTGCTGTTTCTTATTCAGCTGATGACTTGCCAATAATTAAGTACCCTTATTTTGTCCCCTCTCTCTGCAATCCCACCCAAGATGGAGGAAAGGAAGTTCTGTCCATGCACCAGATCCTCCTCTACTTACTCCGGTGTAGCAAAGCACTGGTCCCTGAGGAGGAGATTGCCAATATGCTGCAGTGGGAAGAACTTGAGTGGCAGAAATATGCCGAGGAATGCAAAGGCATGATCGTGACCAACCCTGGGACGGTATGTTCTGCTGTTTACACACCCGGAGACTGTTGTACCTTCTTTTCCAGGTTGGAATGGTTCCCAGAAACAGTGACTGCAGATTTGAAAAGCTTTAAGTACTGTTGCTTCTTGTCCTTTGCCTAGTTTTTCCTTTAAATATTTAGTCAATAAGAAAGATATAACACTTGGGGCCAGCAGATGGCGTAGCAATAATGGTGCTGGACTTCCATATGTCCGATCACCATTCTAGTCAGACCTGGTGGCCTGAAACTTATGCGAGGCACATGTGCATGCGTGCTCAAGATCCCTGTAGGAGAATGGAAGAGAAGGGGTTGCAGCATGGCTATCCTCCCTTGGAGGTGATTTCGGTGATTTCTCACTTTTCCTCTCTCTGTCTCTGGCAAGTGCATATACCCTAAGGCAAAAAGCTCTCCAAAAAAGAAAAAGGAAGAAAAACAAAAGAAAAAGATGATACTTAAGGTATAGTTACTAGTAAGTCCACCTCATTAGTAAATTTATTCTGTCTGAAGGTACACACATTTTTAAGGCTTTTGATATATGTTGCAAATTACCTTCACCAAGGCAATTTCCACTGGGAATAGAGGAGGGTACTCCATCTTCATACTGCTTATTTTAGTTTAAGAAAAAAACTCAATTTCATAGAGGAAAAAAGTGTATTATTCAGTTTAGTTCTGTATTTATTTTAGTATCTAGTAAAAGTTAGAATTTTCACTGTTCATTGGCCATTCATGTTTTCTTTTAATAATTGGCTAAAATGAATATCCTTTGCCTGATTTTATTTTGTAGTATTTGTTCTTTTTTTATTGCTTCTCTGCCGTAATTATTACAAATAGTTCTCATTTCTTTAGTTTGCATCTTAAATTTTTTATTTTATGAATTACTTTCTAATGTTAATTTTTGTGATAAAAATATAAAAAGAAAAGCAGAGAATTAAGGGTGAGCAAGTGGCATGGAGATTAAGGTGCTAGATTCCCACATAGCTGACCCCTGTTCAAGTCCCAGACCTGGTGGCTTGAAAATTATGCTGGTCACATGTACATGGCTAAAAATTTGAGAAGAAAGCAGTGGAGAAGGGATTGTGGTGTTGCCATATCTCCTGGGGGAAATTCTCACTTTTCTTCTCTCTGTCTCTCAGAGAGTGCACATGCCCTGTAGCAAAAAAAAAAAAAAAAAACCTAAGAAAAAACCAGAGAGTTGAAAGGAAACTAGTTCTCTCTTACATGAAGCAATATTTTCTTTATATTAGATTTTTTTCCCCTAAAATATGTTTTTGTTTATAAAATAATTCCGTATTAGCATCTTATGATACAATTTTTGCAGAAGTGGAGAATTAAAATACTTCCATGCAAAGAAACAGTCATCTATTTAAACAAAGCTGTTGTTTTTTTAGAAGCTGCCAATTGTTTAATAGCCTTGATTCATAAAATAAAAACTCTCGATCAACTTTTTGTAGCATGCCAATAACATCTGCACAAACAAAATGTTGCTATTTGCCAGTAAAACATTTCAGCTAATACTGATTATTGTAAGTGAATCCAGAAAATAAAATTGTTTAATAAAAATGTTTAAGCAAACCTTGCTTAAAATTAGAAAATCATAACACTTTTACCATTAGCTGTGAATCCACAGAAATAATTATTTAAGTAACTTTAGAAGAAACATATAATGGGACCCGCCCCATAGCACGTATTTAGGTGTGAGGCAAAGGAAGTCAGATCCCACACAACTGACCAGGATTCCAGCCCCTGTCCCATGGGAATGGAAAACATATGGAGCACATACATGTGTGTGTGCCCAGGATCCTGACTGACTAGAGAATAGGAGGAAAAAGGATTGCAGCTTGACTAAGCCTGAGTTGCAAGTACTCATTTGCTTGTGTTCTTTCTCTCTTGCATATGCTTTCTGGCATTGGAAAAAAAGAAAAGTAAAGAAAGAAGTAATAGGACTATGAGAGTAAGACTGAATGCTTTTTTCTTAAAGAAAAGCTGTTGAATAAATTCCTATTTCTTCTTTCAGTTTTAGAACTGGGCCAGAGGATGGGGTCATGGTGGCAGGAGATGTATGTTTTCATCTTGGTCATTTCCCTGAAAGAGTCCTGTGTTCTACAGTAGACATGTTCGCCTTGGGCTTCCTGCTATAGCATAGTTACACTTTTCTTAAATCCTAGAATCTGTTAAACAACCGAAGGTGCCTTGACTGAGCCCACTCCACATGCTGAAGGCAATAGAACCTAAGAATCTGAAGTTTAAAAATGTCCCCAGGTGCTGCTTCTTCACCCCTTGCTTGTTTCCGATCTAGTGCCATAAATGACATTTACCTATCACCATGGTCATTGTGCAGCTGATTTGCTGCAGGATGATATGGCAGGTGCTAGTGAGGTTTATCTATGGTGTGTGGTCTTTGCCCAGGTGAAAATTCAGTGTGTATGCATATGACGAGTCTGGAAGGAATTGTGGAGACGATGGATCAGTAAAGCTCGTAGTGTTCGCAAAGATCACTGTTCCAGGCTGGTAGTTATTCCAGTGGTAACTTCATAAACAGTACAGTGAAGGCTCTGAGGAATCAAGACATTAGTGTAAGTTGTTGACGTGATTAAATGTCCATACTTGAGATGGGGTGATGTAAGGCCAGCTTTGGAGAAAGTGAGGAAACCAGCCTAGGTGGGGTAAAAGGTTTATATTGGAATATAATCAGCA